ATGTTCAAGCGATTTATAAATTATGTTCGTTTTTTAAACTTTTACCGTAAAGATTATCTGAATTATTCTATCTATCTATCTATCTATCTATCTATCTATCTATCTATCTATCTCTCTCTCTCTCTCTATATATATATATATATATATGGAGAGAGAGAGATGGATAGATCTCTCTCTGTATGTTACGTCCTCCCTTCCTTACTCACTTTTTTTTTTTTATCTATCTATCTATCTATCTATCTATCTATCTATCTATCTATCTATCTATCTCTCTCTCTCTCTCTCTCTCTCTCTCTATATATATATATATATATATATATATATATATATATATATGGATGGAGAGAGAGATGGATAAATCTCTCTCTGTATGTTACGTCCTCCCTTCCTAACTTTTTTTTTTCTATCTATCTATCTATCTATCTATCTATCTATCTATCTATCTATCTATCTATCTATCTATCTCTCTCCCTATATATATATATATATATATATATATATATATATATATATGGGAGAGAGAGATGGATGAATCTCTCTCTGTATGTTACGTCCTCCCTTCCTAACTCTTTTTTTTTTTCTATCTATCTATCTATCTATCTATCTATCTATCTATCTATCTATATATATATATATATATATATATATATATATAGGAGAGAGAGAGATGGATAGATCTCTCTCTGTATGTTACGTCCTCCCTTCCTAACTTTTTTTTTCTATCTATCTATCTATCTATCTATCTATCTATCTATCTATCTATCTATCTATCTATCTATTAAGCTGCTCAGTGGCTAAAAATAATAGCGTTTCTGTCTTTGAGGGTTTGCGGTTGGCATTCGTGTTCAGTTAAATGCGACGATTTCAATATTCCTGTAGGTCTCGTTTCTTCTTTCATCGCGAAAAGACTTTGCTACTTTCATATACTTATAAAATCTTCATATCCATCTATATAAATAAATGCCAATGTCAGTGTATCACACTTTTCAACTTTACTCCTAGAGGCCGTAGTCCAACATATTATACCATTTTGGAAACAGGCCGACTCCCTGAGGAAATTAAAAATATTCCAGCCCGAATCTGGACAGGCAATCCTGAAATTCTGGTTTCCCAAGTTTTCATTACTGCATTTGTTCTCGAAGATATTTTTACTTGATTTTTTGTGACGAATTTTTTTGTCTGATAACAATTTTTATAATTTGGAAATAAATTACGAAATTCTATGAAAGTCACTCATGACATAAATGAATTGTTGTATGGAAAGTAAGGACCTACTTTCGTCGCATTTTCTTTAAATTGATTGGCAGTAGAAGAACTATTGTTGAACTTTTACAAGGTAAGATTAAATATTAATGCAATACTTAAATACAGTGATCAATTTTGAAAATTTCTGTAGTTTATTATTGCCTATCGCGTACAGCAGCAGTATACTTCGCTAAAAGAAATCTCCGCCAACCAGATTGCAATAAAAAGAGTCAATGCTGCCGCGAGAAAATAAAGTCCCATACAAATGAAAACCCAGATCAGACGGCAGTCTGGAAACCTTCCAAAGCTGAGAATATGAAATGATTTAAGGATTCTAAAACTCTGGAAAAGCCGAACGCCCAATCAAGACCCTCTGCAGGAGCTAGCTTAATGCCTCCCAATATGGCAGCTTTTAACCTAGTATATGATATGTCTTGGTATCTACTAATATCTCTATTTATACTTCAGATGGCATTCAATTTCATATGTACATATATATACATAAAAATATCTTCATAGTATTCAGCTGTCATCTACGTTTATTTTTTTTAATGTTTATCAAGATCTATTTCATATATCTATTTCAGTTTCTTCATATATTTATGTTTCTTTCTTTCTTTCTTTCTTTCCTTCTTTCTTTCTTTCTTTCTTTCTATCTATCTATCTATCTATCTACAGGAATTTTAATAAAATTCTTTTGGTTAAGTTCTTAATAAATCCAATTTGCACGCTTTCATTAAAAAATAGAATTAAAAAAGACTAAATCATTATTAAAAGCTTTACAAAATGGAGTTGATTTTCTGATTAATTTAAATAAAAGCACAAATTTTCTTTTCTCTTTCCAAATTGCAAATCTGCACAATATTTACTTCATTATCTTTCTTTTTCTTTTCTGTTAGGAATCCTCGCCATGAACAATGGCTTTTCTCAATTTAGTTTAAACACGCCATTGCTGCTGTAATGAGATCAATCCTCATCTGTGTTGTCATATTCTTGACGTTTCGGGAGTTGTGCGCTCCGGACTTCTTCAGGTGATATACTTTGGAATTTCCAACCAAAACCATTATTTCGGGGCAGATTATTCTAGTATGACGTGCAATGCCATTTCTGGATATACTTTTAGTAACTCAACTATTTAAGTTTTGTTCACCTCAGTTTTGGACAGGTTTCGCACTCATAACACTTTAGGTCAAGTCACTGAAGAAGGTCGCAGCGTACAACAGGCGAAACGTCATAAATATGTCAACAAAGATGATGACAATAGCCCGAACAATGTAAATAGTATAAATAGTTATATTACCTCTTATCAGAAATATAGACATATGTTAATAAACATATATTCTGTTGATATCTACTTACTTTCTATTGATATCCTGTTGATATCGATGATCTTTTGTAATGAGACATTAATATATATTTATCTTTTCGATTAAGTAATGGATAGCGGCTCGGATTAAGGAATCGGAGAAACGAGTTCGAATTCCAGTCGAATCCATTACATTCACTAACGTGCTAATTCTCTTGGGAAAGGTATGAATCCACTTCTTCCCCTCCTAGCTATAGGTAATTAGCAGAACAGACCGGGTTCTATAGCCTTGGATGACATCTGGACTAACGTAGAAAGAAATGGCAACCTAATGCTGGAAAAAATATCTGCCACGTCAGTCATGTATCGAAAGGTACATGATCGCCCCTAAGCGTGTATCACACAGGGCACATAACTGACTGACTGAATCTCATGTTGGTTGTTATAATCACACACATTTGGTTATTGTAACCAGGGCTTTCGTGAGGTAGATGTGTTATTCGATAATCTGAGAAATTAGGATTTATAGTTTTTTTGTTTTTTTTAACTAAAGTGATTTTTTTTTTATCCGCCAATAATGCAAGCGGTATCTTACCTTAGATAATTCGGCATAGTGAACCATCTTGCCTTAGAAACGGAGTATATAATCTATTCTGCCTTATCCATGTATTGACCTCACGACCATAAGGTAACTAGATATTTTCTTGATCGTCTATTGAAATTTTTTAGACATTCTGTTTTTATAATGAGTACAATTAGTTTTGAAATTAGTTTAACCTATCTTCTAGGTCTCTGCCTATCTTAAGCTATATTCTGATAAGCATACTGAAATGTGTAACATTTTGAAGTTAAGCTAGCTTAAAAGACGAGATTTGAGTATTTATTGGTAGATCAGGAAGTGGGAGGAGATTTACGCCCCGGAAAGCAGTTTTGAGTGGAGTCGACAATTATTTGATTTAATATAATGAAATAGCATCAAAAATGAGTTGTACCATTTTTTCATCTTAATCCACTTTATATTGACATAATACATTCGGCATTTACTTTGAGCGTTAATCTCTGAGTCAGTAATTATTATGAGGATTTTCTAAGCGTAGCTTAGATGTGGCAGAAGGACGAATGTATGGGGCACCCTGTGATGATCGAACTCACTTTTCAATCATAAATGATCTAGTGAGACTATCTTGCTAACCATTACACACGTCGAAGTCTTCGTACCAGTTACTGTTATGGCTTGCTTCGGTTTATTTTGCTATTTGAGATCGTCAGACAAAATGGGATCGCAGATAGCGTGAAACGCAAGGTCACAATCTCACATCAATGTAACTATATATATATATATATATATATATATATATATATATATATATATATATATATATATATATATATCATTTCTGTAGACATTCATTTCTGTAGTTTACTGCTGCCAGCAAGCAGAAATATTTCTCCTCGATGATGGCCATTTTTGGGCCGAAACTAGTCGAGGAATCTAAATGAAATAATAATAATAAAAAAAACGAATGAATAGTAATCTACAACCCAGTGTGTCTGAAGATTTTAATTTTTAAATTTTTTTATTGTTCAAAATATATACGGAATATGAATTCCAATAACCAACAATTACTATTCTGAAAAGAGTGCTCAATACAAAGTAGATCAGATATAATTATTTATAAAAAGTTATTTTTAAAACCATTTATTTTACATTCAACATCATCACTTGATAAGACACCGGGGGTGTTGAAACAAAATGGCTATTTTTGTAGTGATTTTATAACATGTTTATGTTATAAATTTTTAACATAAATAATTATATATATATATATATATATATATATATATATATATATATATATATATATATATGTGCGTTTGTGTGCGTTTGTGTAGGTGTCGATGCGTGTGTGTGTGTGTGTGTGTGTGTGTGTGTGTGTGTGTGTGTGTGTGTGTGTGTGTGTGTGTGTGGATAAATATATTTAGGCAGCAAGTATTTATTTAAACATGTCTGATTAAAGACAACCGGTACAATATACTGGATTCATTTTTTATTAATTTTTTTTTCAATTTTCAAATACGGTGTTATATAGTGTGATCAGAATTGTAAATAAATTGTCCGATATTCTTGTTTGTGTTATTTACTGTTCAAGTACTTTCTAACATACTAATTATTTTTTAAGACCCACTGTGGTGTCTGTCTGGTTCGTCTACATCCTGATATTCCTTGTTTGAAATAGTTTACAGTGATGTCATATGTAACAGATATTTCAGCTTTCCTAAGAATACTAAGATGTCGACAAATGAAGTTTGCCTACCACACAGACACCAGATCGTTTCTTGAAAATGAATGAGATAGTCAAAATTACTGGAACAAACAAGAACACATACACTCCGCAGATTTTATCCACAATTTTGATCCCAATGCAAAATATCATATTCAAAATTTGGAAAAATGCAGTAAATGATTGAATAGATATAACTTGTCGGTTTTCTGTAATCAAAATTGTATGTATGTATGTAGGTACGTATGTGTGTGTGTTTGTGTGTGTGCGTGTGGTTATGTATCTATGTATCATAGTGTGATAAAAACTGACTGTGATCTAGCACACTAGCCTGATGGGTATGAATATACTGAGAAAGATCGATCAATCGATTGATAGATAGAAAGATGAATAGATACTATTTACATTATGCTGACTATTGTCCTCATTTTGTCGCCATATTTATTGCAACGTTTCGGCGGTTTTACGCTCCGGACTTCTTCAGGTGGTTGGAATGTCGAACTGAAACCTTTATTTCGCTCACTGGGGTACACTGTTCTAGTTCCACGTGCCATGTTTTATGGATGTCAGTTATCAGTTATCGCCTGACATTCCAGCCACCTGAAGAAGGCCGGAGCATACAATGGCCGAAACGTTGTAATAAATATGTCGACAAATATGAGAACAATAGTAAGCCGAATAATGTAAATAGTGTATATAATGCCTCATCTAAAAAAGATAGATAGATAGATAGATAGATAGATAGATAGATAGATAGATAGATAGATAGATACTATTTACGTTATTCGGTCTATTGTCCTCATTTTTGTCGCCATATTTATTGCTACGTTTCGACCGTGGTACGCTCCGACCTTCTTCAGGTGGTTAGAATGTCGAACTGGACACTTTATTTCGCTCAATGGGGTAGACTGTTCTTGTTCCACGTGCCATGTTTAATGGATGTCAGTCATCAGTTATCGCCTGACATTCCAACCACATGAAGAAGGCCGGAGCATACAACGGCCCAAACGTTGTAATAAATATGGCAACAAATATAAGAATAGTCCGAATAATGTAAATAGTGTATATACTACCTCATCTCAAAAAGATAGATAGATAGATAGATAGATAGATAGATAGATAGATAGATAGATCTTCCTTAATGTTTCTATAAATTTGTATTGAATTATTATGATTTCATACTGTATATTTTTATATATTTATATTTTTCATAACTTGGGTGAATGTCTTATCCTGCAACACAATAAGAATCGACATTATGTATTTGATCACGTTTTGCCTCAAGCACTTTCAGAAAATACTGACTCCTTCAATCTATCTATCTATCTATCTATCTATCTATCTATCTATCTATCTCAGTCTGTTCACTATCTATCTATCTATCTATCTATCTATCTATCTATCTATCTATCTATCTAGTGACCATTTGAGAATAAGAGGTCAGTAAATATGAATGTTGTATTACTTCGATGAATATCATCTGTTTCCATGGGCGGAAATTAAATGGCTTTTCTATGAAATACTTTAATATTCTTCCAGGAAAAAGTAACACTGCTAACTATTATTCCTCGCCTTATGGAAAGTGAGACAATTCGAGAAATTGTCAGAGATTATGCTATATAAGACTGTATATTTATATTTGTTTACTTGTTTGACACTGTGACATATGGAAATATGAAATTGAGAAAGATTACGCATGTTCATATATGTATGTAAAATATTACATATGTTTATGTAATGCATCATTTATTTTCTATATCAAGTGATGTTTCTAAATTAACAATGTGCCAGTGTTACCCGTGTATGCAAAGAAATATATTTGCGCATGTCCCAGATAGGAAAAATGCTAAAGACGTGAATAGATTTGTTTCTATTTATGGATGTCTAGAGGTCTGCTATCCAGTATTACGAAATATGAAAAAAATTGGGCCTCATATTAAAAAAAAGATAATGAATGCCGGATGAAAAATATGAAATGGAGAATAGGAATAAGGAAAAGAACCAATGAAATGAACGAACAAAAGAAAGAAAGAAAGAAAGAAAGAAAGTGTTATGTAGTGGTTTCACAGTGGAGGCTTGTATTTGTACTAAGTCGGTCCTAAAATAGGTTCGACGTACAAAACGTTAGGAACTTGATATAGATAGGTAATGACGCAGTAATCTAGTTGTGGTGGCTGATACTTTAATATCCGACTAACGGTCGTCCGACATCGACTGACTGACCAACTCTCTGCCCCACTGACTTGTTACTCTTGCTACTCCTACTTATTATAGGTGGGAGAGTCTATTAACAATAGAATAGGTATGTTTC